CCCCAAAACCCCAAAACCCCAAAACCCCAAGTTGATAACATCAAAATTCAAGTGGTAAAATAGGTTAAATTATTTAGTAAATTGAGTGAGAAATCATATCTTGAATTGTTTTAAAATAAGATCATTTCATCTTCTAGCATTCATTGTAGATAATATGGTTTACAATGTGTAAAGATAACCGGTAATAATGCGACAACTCAAAGAATATATTAGTGAAATAACCTTGCACTTAGTGAATCATGGGCCCAAAGATATGATTTAAGTTTCCAAAAACCTTTAGGACTCCCTCAACATATTGCTCGGCATTAACTACTCCAAACTCTTTCGTTGAAAGATTATTAGTCATCTAGGTTGATACATACATTGGTGTCACACAGATTACTTCGAGATTAGGATACTCCTTTTTATTTTCTTATCTGAGAGCCTCAGTGAAATATCTTTCAAACTTTTTAGTGCATCCATATATTTATTAGTATGGGCCTGCAACAAAACTTATTGAACTGCTCACATTCAGTAGAGCTGTCTGTTTCTTTAGAGATCTCTGTTGAAGCTTTTTCAAAATCAAATGATTAAACAGAATGTAAGGATAAGTGTTAACAATAGCCATTTCCATAATCTAACTTATATTCAGTTGCCTGTAGTATTCACTGTACAATATTCCTGCATTGTTGACAACGATTGAAATATCTAGATCTTTGATTTATGCATAGATCTTTTTATAAAATTCAAGTGTTTCACCTCCATTTGCATAATCTGCTATTACTTTCAGAGTCTTAATTTAAGGACACTTTTTAAGAATATCATTTTCGACTTTAGTAAGCTTGTCAAGACTTCTTGAAATTAAAATGATATTCAATCCCTGCTAAGCTATTCTATGCGCTAACTCTTCACCAATTCCAGATGTGCATCCAGTTATTAATGCCCATGAGTCTATTTTATAAATATCATTTCAATTAAGATTAGTACTTACCAGCTCCATAAAGTACTTTTAGATCTTTCTTTTAAACAATGAAACTTGTATAAATAATCATCCAGATCTAATACAGTTTTGGAACCAAGACATAAACTCCCAGAAATATTGCAAAATAATCAAAACAACCTAATTCTTTCATCTTAAATAGATATTATTATAAGTTTAATAAATAAAATCTGACGAATCTAATTTTGTTTAATACGTCAATACAGCAAGCAAATAAATTAAGGGGTTTTGGGGTTTTGGGG